AGAGTGGGTCGGATCGGACGGTGCGTCGGATCGGGCTGCATCGGCACGGAGCCTGAATCAAATCAGATCGGCCCCTGTCATCGCTCGGACGTCCACTTCCTGGCACTTTTCAATTTCGTGAGTGATTTTTTTGCTCGATGGTCCAGGATGGTCCTCGATGACTCCCGCCGAGAAAAAATGCAAACGTCCGAGCGATGCCGAGGGCCAGCGCCGTGCAGGTATCGGACCGGCGGGAAATCAGACTCAAATCGGACCAAACTAACCGATACCGCTGTCGGATCGGATCGATCGGATCGAAATAGACCTTGGCGTTCGGATCATGACTCGGTTCTCCAGCGGCCGTTCGAGACGATCGGGGCACCCCTGGAACGCCCTCGGCGCGGAGCAGCTGCCGAATGCAACCCGAGGGAACAAGACCTCCAGGAACCGACTAACACGTCCGAAAAGGTCCGAGTGGTCGGATCGAAACGTCGGGGAAGATAAACTCGGGTTGGCCTGACGGGGCCGTCAGGAAGATGACGAGACCCAATAGAAAATTTGGCCCGAAGTCCCGCTGTCAACATACCACGCAAAAAAAACGCCAAAATCCAGGGCGCTCCCATCAAAAAGCATGTATCGGCAAGCCCGAATTCTGGCGAACTCGAGCCTTCCAGATTTCCGAAACCAGACCATGAGGATCGATATGGCCGATTTCAAAAACCCTGAACCCGAAGACGCTTTCATCTCCTGGGGGTGCAATTTTTACTCCCGCCGCCTTCCACCAACCTTCCGCCGGCTTGCGACGGCGGAGACCGCCTCGTTTTACTTCCGCCGACCCTCCACCGCCCTTACGCCGCCTTCCGCCGCGGAAGAGATGACACCTCCTTCGACCCTGAAACTAAAGGCCATTTCTGGCACGCTACATGTCGAATCGGATCGATGAGGTTGACGTGGGCCTGTATTGGACGTCGCCAGATTCTCTTCTCCGAGATGCGATTGCCCTACATCTGGGAAACCAGTAGGTACCGATACCGCTGCTCCCTGGACCTCTCCTGGGGGCCCCCAACGGGAAAACGGGCGAAGGGTGGAGATATGGCTACCTCTTCCTCCCCTGGAAATCGATCTCGAATCGGATCGAGCAGATCGACATGGGCCTGTCTTGGACGCCCCCGGACTCTCTCCTTCGACATGTAGTTGCCCCACATCCCGGGCTCGAACGGGCCGGTCCCCTGCCACCCCCCGCGCACGGGCGACAGCACGGCCTCTGGGGCGGCGAGGTATCTGCACTCGCGAGCAGCGCACACACAGACACACAGACACACATACACACACAGACACACAGACTTACACACACACACAGACACACATACACAGACGCACACACACACACACACCACACCACACGCACACCACACACACACACCACACGCACACACACAGACACACAGAAACACACACACACACCACACCACACGCACACACACAGACACACACACACACACAGACACCACACACGCATACCCATGAGGGGGACGGAGCGGGCTACGGGCGCGTGTTGTCGAAGGGGGGTCCCCGTTCCAGTGGGAGCCTCTCCTGGGGTCCGACAACCCGAACCCCTCCCTCCGACCCCTCCATGGGTATGGGCGTGTTTGTTCGTTCGTCACCTTGAGGCGCTGCCCCCAAGATTTCCCAGGCTTCCTTCGGTGGCAACTCATGGGAGCCTCCCATGCCATCTTGTCGGCTCTTGCGGATCGACACGCCATATCGACGCGAATCGACGCTAGATCGACGCTAACCCACGCTAGCCGACGTTGAGTCGGCGCTATCTCACCGACTCCCAGGCGCGCATCGACGCCAGTCGACGCCAAATACACAATTGCGAGGGTACACAAGGCTCCCATGACTTGCCACCGAAATATCCGTATCCGCGCCGTCGCGAACTGCATTCCAGGGCGCCATCGCGCCTGCGGATACGCGATGGCGCGGATCCGGTCCGCGCGAGGCCTCTGCGAACAAAAACGCCCCACTGACCGCGGGGTCGGGGCCCCTGGGGCCCGGCCCGCGAGGCCGCGGATACGGACATAGATGTTCGCCCATGCTGCACCGTGGCCATCGCCCCTGGTCAGGCCAACTATGGGCCAAGGACCAGTTCACGGCGTGGCTTTTCAATCCGAAACTTATCCTCTACTGTCGAGTGGTCGTCAAACGGGGGGTCAACACAAGGGGGGAGGGGGGGCGATCGAGTGCTGCAGAAGGGGCCGTAAAGAAGTCATTCCGGGCCCCGAAAGGGCTGGCCCAGAAGGGGCCCTTTGGGGCCTCGGAGGCGCCCCTTTCTCCACCCCTCCTTATTATGCCTCCACCCTTCACTGACTACCTACCAGACCACCTCAACCTAACCCGAAGACCCGAATATCGGGTTGGGGGGGGGAGGTACGGGTTCCACACGTGTTTTTTCAATGTTTCCCAGCGCCCCCCCCCCCTGGGAATGGAGGGCAAATAGGATCCCTTCGGGTTGGGCTGGGGTGGCTGGGTGGGTGGCGACCCACCGACCGAACACAAGACTTCGGGGACAATCGAAAATGGATGCGGGACAAAAACTGCCCCGATTCGGGCCTCACGGGGCCGCGAATGGAACCAAAAAACCGTGCCGGCGAGTGTCAAGGTATGCGCCTCCCTGGCCGGGAGAAGCGAGGGGGGGACGCGCGGTCGGGCACTGCCGCTTGGCGTGCCGCGGCGGTTGCCCCAGCAGAACACGCCGTGCCGGGCGGGGCGTTTGGGCGTGGAGGCGCGGGTGGCGTGTCGCGCCGACGCGAACTGGTCCGATCCAGCGCTTCTGTTTGCGACTTCGGCCCTCCGGCTTCGTTTTCGCGGCCCGGGGGCTGCTGCGGAAAACCAACCCTGGGGACGCGGTCGGGACCGCACGGGGCCGAAGGATGGAGGAAAAACATACGGGCGACACGCTTCACTGGCCAGGCCAAGCCAGGGGAGCCTCTCGCACCATCTTGTCGGCGCTTGCGAATGGACACGAATCGACGCTAGTCGACGCTACCCCGTGCAAAATTTACGTTCGCCCGCGCAGATCGACCGCGAGTCGGCGCCATATTATCGATTACCAGACGCTGACCACGCTACTGAACTGAGGATGACATTACGGATAACGGCACGTCCGGAGCACACGATGTTCCAATGATTTGCCGCCGAATACACCCCCTGGGATCCGACGTCTCGGAAAATGCCGCAACGTGGAAAGCCAGGCATCTGGCGTTCGATTTCTTCGATGCGTGGACCCCCAGAGATCTAGACTCGCCTACAACTCCGGCTTTTCCTCCAGAATCGTCCATAGATGGTTCCCAAGCCTTTTGATCGGCGGCGCACCCATGGGGAAAGGAGAAAAATCATGCCTCCTCAAAAAGATTCGGAAGACTCTTGGCCTTCTGACAAGTTTTCGAAGCATTCCCCGAGCAGAAGAAAACCTCCCATCGCTCGCAGCCAATTTGAAGGCCCCCGAGCAAACCGAAAACGGCCGCGACGCTATCTTCATCCCGGCTTCGTCCTACATATCCAGACCTCAGGCACCATGCTTGTTTCAGAACGTCGACCCCCAGAAACTTCGACCCTTTCCCCTGGGCCCCGGCTTTTCCTCCAAAGCCGTTTGTGTTGCGCGGCCTCGAGGCCCAGCGAGGGCCCCCTCCCGGCTGAAGATCGCGAGATTTCTCCCGCCAGGACTTGTCCTCCTCCGCCTCCTCCTCCTGTTCCTCCACCGACTCCTCCTCGTCCTCCTCGTCCTCCTCGTCCTCCTCCTCCTCCTCCTCCTCCTCCTCCTTCTCCTCGCCCTCCTCCTCCTCCTCCTCCTCCTCCTCCTCCTCCTCCTCCTCCTCCCCCTCCTCCCCCTCTTCCTCCTCCTCTTCCTCCTCCTCCTCCTCCTTCTCCGCCTCCTGGTCCTGGTCGTGGTCGTGGCTTTGAAGACCCCGAATGGGGAGTTCGGCCTGCTCTGGGCAAAGCAGGTCCTGGCATGTTCGACCCCGAACGGCAGCGACTGACGTGGCGGCGAACATGTACTGAGCATTTTCTCAAGGTGGAGGGCTCAGGGTGAAATCCACATGGGCATATGCACCTCGAGAATCAATCCGTCTCGTGATCCACGAAGATTCACCTCTTGAAGATTCAAGCCTCGAGAATTCATCGAAACGGCACTTCGGATTTCACCCTGTGCCCTCCACACAGAGAGAATGCTCGGATGTAAGAAATATGTACGCTCATGGAAGCGAGTGGGCACAGCGAAATCAATCCCCGCGACGGCCGCGGCCTCGGCCGCAGCGACGGCTCGCGTTCCAGCTCCTGTCCTGACTGCTGTCCGGGGACCCGGACGCAAGCCGCTGGCCTGGGCCTGGCCCGCTTGGCAACTGCAAGTCTGGCGGCTGGTGGTGCAGCACCGCTGGAGGGCCAACTGGGTTACCAGCAGCGGCAGGCGCAACAAGGCCCCTGGGCACCGTCAACCCAGACACCGTCATGGCGCGGCCGCCCGCAGGGCGGCAGGAGACGGCCGTACTCATCGGGGTCTGGCGGGTGGGCCCCAGGCGCGGGGCGCCAAGGGGGGCACCATCGTCTGCGCACTGTTGCTGCTCGAGCGCCGAGCCGTGGCACGCGGTGGCGAGGCAGCGGAGTAGGCCAGGGCCAGGCCAGCAGGAGGCGGGCTGACGGGCTGCCCCGCCGCGTGCGGGCGCCCAGGCTGTTGCGGTGGCTGCAGGCGAGAGCTGCTCGGCCCCGCAGGAATGCATGTTTACGTCACGCTCCCGAGCATCCCTGTATGCATCGACGTACCTTGCCGCCCTCCCCGCGAGCCAGCTCTACGAGTCCGCGGCAACGCGCGCGTCAGTTGGCGTGGCATGCCCGCAGGCGAGGGCCAGGGAGCGCAGGGCCTGGCGGTGCACCAAGGCGGCGGGGGCTGGCGCAGCTAAGCCAACGCTGGAGGGAGGCTGGCCTGAGGACTGGCCGGGGGTACCTCGGCAGCACTTGCGGATGGCTGGGGGGCGTCGGGCTGCGCAAGGGCGGGCGGCGAGGTGGAGCCGGCGGCGAGGTGGAGCCAGGCCGGCTGGCCGATGTGCTGGGCGTTGCCCACTGACAGGGGCAGTCGGAACCATCGCTGGCTGCACCTGGCGCTGGCGGGCACCAAGAAGCGTGGCGATCGGGCCGCGCGCCGCTCCCCCGTAAATCACAAGCAGCGACTCCGCCACGGAAAGGTTGAGCTGGCCTGCCCCAATCGTGGACGTCTGGACAGCCTCTTCCTCCTCCTCCCCGTCCCCGTCCTCCTCCTCCTCCTCCTCCTCCTCCTCCTCCCCTTCCTCCACGTGTTTCTCCTCCTCCTCCTCCTCCTCCTCCTCCAAAGCACTAGACGCTGGTGGCATCTAAATCCCCGAGGATGTTGCATCCCACCTTCTCCTCCTCCTCCTCCTCCTCCTTCTCCTCTTCCTTATCCTCCCCATCCTCTTTCTCCTCCACCTCCTCCTCCTCATCATCATCATTATCATCATCACCATCATCAGCATCGTCATCATAAACATCATCATCATCATCATCATCATCATCATCATCATCATCATCAGCATCAGCATCATCATCATCATCATCATCATCATCATCAACATCAACATCAACATCGACATCATCATCTTTCTCCGCCGCTTCCTTCCCCTCCTCCTCCTCCACCTCCTCCATTCCTTATCCGTATACAGAACTTGTCCGGTCGCACCCCGAGGCTAATTTGTAGGGCGGGCGGGCGTTTCGCCAAAGACTTCCTTGCCACTTATGACTCTGAAGCTTCAAAAATGGTCACAGCTTCACAAATGGAGGGCGGGCCGTTTTCAAAATGTGGCTGTCGCCTCAGCGCCGCGCACATTCGTTTAAACAATTTGCGCAAAAGTTTCAAGGATTGAGGGGAGGTGTTTCCAAAATGTGCCTCTCGCCTGAGCGCCGCGCACATTCGTCTTGGACACTTGCAAGGGGCTGACGGATTCAAAGCGGATCGTTTTCAAAATGTGGCTCTCACCTGAGCGCAGCGCACATTCGTCTTAAAACTCTGCAAGAGTTTCACGGATTGAGGGCGGGTGGTTTTCAAACTGTGGCTCTCGCCTGAGCGCCGCGAACACTCGTTTTTAAAATTTGCAAGAGATTCACGGATTGAGGGCGGTTCCTTTTCAACATGTGGCTCTCGCCGTAGCGCCGCGCACATTAGTTTGAAAAAAATGTCACAATTTCACAGGTTCCCATGATCAACAGACCAGAAATTGTGTTTGGAGAGATTCAGGATTATGCGGGTGCAGCAATTACGTTGGTTCGCTGTGTCGAAATCCCAAACATGGCGTTCTGGCACGATTTCACATCGCCCGGACGCAGCAGTCAACTTGGTCCGTGGCGTGGGGATCCCGAGAACAATGTTTTGGCGTGCTTCAAGGTCTTCAAACGGTTGTCTTCTAACGAGGCAGTTCCCTCGATGGAAATGAGCCGTTGAGGGAGCTTGGAGGGAGGGTCAATTCCAACATCGTTGATGACTCTTGGGTTTACCCTGGTCCTCCTCCTCCTCCTCATCATCATCATCCTTCTCCCTCCTCTTCCTCCTCCTCCTCCTCCTCCTCCTCCATTCCTTTTCCGTATACATAATTTCTCCCTGTCGCACCCCGAGGCCAGTTTTTAGGGCGGGCCGGGCGTTTCGACAAAGACTTCCTAACCATTTATGACCCTGGAGCTTAAACATTGGCAACAGCTTCACGGATGGAGGGCGGGACGTTTCCAAAATGTGACTGTCTCCTCACCGCCGCGCACATTCGTCTCAACAATTTGCGCAACAGTTTCAAGGATTGAGGGCGGGTTGTTTCCAAACTGTGGTTCTCGCCTGAGCGCGGCGCACATTCGTCTTGGAAATTTGCCAGAGCTTCGCGGATGGAGGGCGTTTTTTTTCCAAACGGTGGTTCTCGCCTGAGCGCGGCGCACATTCGTCTTGGAAATTTGCAAGCGCTTCACGGATTGAGGGCGGGCCGTTTTCAAAATGTGCCTCTCGCATGAGCGCCGCGCACATTCGTCTCGGAAATTTGCAGGAGGTTCACGGATTCAAAGCGGATCGTTTTCAAAATGTGGCTCTCGCCTCAGCGCGGCGCACATGCGTCTTGAACTTTTGCAAAGAGGTTCACGGATTGAGGGCGCTCCGTTTCAAAATGTGGCTCTCGCCGCAATGCCGCGCCCATTCGCAGTAAACGGCTGCAAGAGTTCCACGGGGTCCCAGCATCAGCGTATCAGAAATGGTGTGTTGGAAAGATTCAGGACTGCGCGGGTGTAACAATTACGTGTGCTGAAATACTAGGAATGGCGTTCTGGCACGATTCCAGATCGCCCAGACGCAGCAGTCAACTTGATCCGTTCGTGGGAATCCCGAGAACAATGTTTTGGCATGCTTCCGGATCTTCAAACCGGTGTCTTCCAACGAGGCAATTCCATCAATGGAAATGAACCGTTGTATGGGGCCTATGAGGAGGGAACTTGGAGGGAGGGTTACGTATAATTCCAACGTCGTTGATGACTTTTGCGTTTACACTGGTGCTCCTCCTCCTCCTCCTCCTCCTCCTCCTCGCCCTCAACCTCGTCCTCGTCGTCGTCCTCGTCCTCCTCCTCCTCCTCATCCTCCTCCTCCTCCTCCTTCCTGCTCCTCCTCCTCCTCCTCGTTCTCCTCCTCCTCTTCCTCTTCCTTTTCCTCCTCCTCCTCCTCCGCCTCCTCCTCCTCTTCCTCCTCCTCCCTCTTCCCTCCTCTCTCCTCCTCCCTCCTCCTCCCTCCTCACTTCTCCCTCCCCCTCCTCCCCCTCTTCTCCTCCTCCTCTCCTCCTTCCTCCTCCTCCTCCTCCTCCTCCTCCTCCTCCTCCTCCTCCTCCTCCTCCTCCTCCTCCCTCTGTGTGTGTCCGTGTGTGTGTGTTAACACGCAAGGCCGCTACCAATACAGCATGCCTCTCTGCTGAGCGATTTGGCTGCTCACGGTCTCACCCTGCTCGCACGCCGCCTGGACGCGAGGCTCCTGAAAGGAGCTGCACATGATCTGTCCATGACTCGCGAGGCTCTGGGTGTGGTGTTCGAGCCACAGGCGCGTGCACTCTTGATCCGCTGTAGTGGTAACGGCCGCGCGTGCTAAATCACACACACACACACGGATGGAGAGGGAGGAGGGGAGGAGGAGGAGGAGGGGAGGAGGAGGAGAAGGAGGAGGCGGAGGAGCAGGAGAAGAGGAGGAGGAGGAGAAAGAGCAGGAGAAGGAGCAGGAGAAGGAGAAGGAGGAGGAGGAGGAGTAGTAGTAGTAGTAGTAGTAGGAGGAGGAGGAGAAGGAGGCAACCGAAGTGCAGCAGATCTGGGAGCCCTGCGGCCTCCGGGGCCGCCCGGCCGTCAACCGCCTCCACGCGCTGCAGCCGCACCCCGGGCTCCCCCTCCGCCCAGCTGCGCGCGTGCGCCCAGCGGCCCGCGTAGCTGTCCAGGTTGATGCAGAGCACCCAGACGTCTTCCCTGCAGGAGGGTCATACCCTTTTCCCTTCGCGGCGATCACGGGGCGTCACGAGGGGAGGGACGGGGGGGGGGTGCTCGGCACCACAGGCTGTGGTGCTGGCGTCGGGCGCTCTGTGGCAGTGCCGGGGGACGCACGGGGGGGGGGGTGCGTAGCGCGGGCACTTCCCCCAGCACTTCCCCAGGCATGCCCGCCGGATCGCGTGTCGCTCCGCTTCGCGGTGTGGGAGGCCGGGAGCAGCTCGGCACGGGGACCCCCGGAGACCGCCCAGGGCACAGGCCCGCGACGTCATGTTTTTTTGCCATGGCGTCGACGCCCAGAGGTCTCGACCCGTTTCCCAGGAGTGGTCCTTCCTCCTTGAGTACAGTCGAGGCGTTGACCTAAGGAACCCTGAATAAGGAACGAGGCCTCTGTTTCCCATAAGTTCAACCTCGATTTCCTATGGAAGCCCTCAGGAAAACCCGAGGCAAATTCTGAAACAATCAAGGAACACCGAGCCCCTCCCCAGCGAAAAGGGTTCCTTCTGCAGCGCCCCGACTGTAGATTCTTTTGACGGTCCCGAGGCCCAGTCAGGGCCCCTGAAGGCCGAAAACGGTGAAAAACCTTCCTCGTGACTTTTGGCAGCACGACGGGTCTCCAGGAGCGTGTCGCGTGGAGGCGGGGTGGGCCCGAAGCGGTGGAGCGACGCGCCAAGCCAAACCCCTCGACGGCGCGTGAGCCCCGACGAGCCGCGCCCCGCGGAATCCTCGGGAACTCCGCGCCGCCGTCCCGGCCGCCCATTAAAAGAAAACGTTGTTCTCTGTAACCATGATGTCTTGTTCTCATTACTAAAACATTTCTTAACCATAAATAAACCTTTTTCCTCGTTCATCAAACTTTTTCTCGGTAATAAGTTTCCCCAGTAGTAGAAATTGTTTAACGATAAGTTCTCTGAGCTCCGCGCGGGTTTTCGCATCGGCGCTGGACCCTCTCGCTGGCGCGCAGAGCGCGCAGGGGGCAGGTGCCGCCAGGCGGCCCTGGCGCCGATCCAAGACATCCTCGAGAAGCTCCAATAATCACATATATATATATATATATATGATTGCAATTTTGTGCGTCCTCAAGCTGCGCGAGCCCCGGCCGTCGAATGTCTCTGCCACTTGTTTTTCATCCTGAATCATTCTCTGACGATCCCCAGGTCAAGTGAAGACCTCCGGAGGCCGAACACGCCCAAAGACCAGCCGCTCCAACTTTTTCGACTCCTCGGGTCTTCGGGAGGGGAATGGCTGACCACTGCTAGCGCGGACCCCGTTACGTGAACCCCGACGACCGACGCCCTGTGGAGGAGCTCGTTCTCAGAGTCCTCCCAGGTGGGTTCGGACAATCTCACCGCATCGCCGATGCATCGCGTTGGCGATGCATCGACGACGTTGGCGATGCATCGGCGTCATCGGCGTGGAGGAACTCTGGCTCCACATCGCGCCGCAGCGCCTGTGCATCGGCGATGCGGGGCGATCCTCCCTTCGAACCAATCTGGGAGGCCTCGGGCACGCGACACCCGGCGACCGGCGACCCGGGGAGGAGCCCGGCCTCGGATCGGGCCTCGGTCAGGAGCTTGCTTGATCGCGGCATAACCTGAATGCACTATTCAGGCGTACTGCCATCAAGAAGCACGGCACCCGCTTCCGACAACAACCCATCCACCCCCAGTCAAGTCAAGTCAAGGACGCCTTGCACCCGAGGGTGCGTGAGCAGGGGTGACACGTATAGGAAATAATCACCACATGCAGCCAGAATGCCTTCAGCTTCCGGCCCAAGCCTTCACCGCGCGCTCCCACGCTCTAACTCGAACATTTCTCGGATCGCCACCGTGGTCTGCCATTTGCCAGGGGCCTCGCCTAGGCCTGGGGCACGAGCAGTCGACGGCGGGCGTGGGGCCGCCGCAGGCCCCAAGGGGGAAGCTAGAAACTCTGAACAATACTTCGGACGCCCGAAATGGGTACAGTCGAGGCGTTGAACTAAGGAACCCTAAATAAGGAACGAGGCCCCTATTTTCCATAAATTAAACTTCGATTTCGCATCGAAAACATGAGGAAAACCTGAGGCAAGCTGTGAAACACTTACGGAACACGGAGCCCCTCCCCAACGAAGAGGGTTCCTTCTTCAGGGCCCCGACTGTACGGAAAGAATGGGAACAATGCCCAACAACAAATGTTGTCCCAAACCAACAGCGGCAGCTGTTGGGCAGGCGCCCGTCTGTCTCGAATGGACACAGGCCGCGGCGGCGTGGACAGCGAGTCCTGCTCAAAATGAACAAGATCCGCTGTTGGGCATTGTACCCATTCTGTCCGTGCCCATATCGTTCGTGCAGAAGCAGAAATACAACGCGCGATAGGCCTGGTCTGCTGAGAAGAGGCCGACCGCCCCGGCATTCCTACAGGCCTGCCCCGAAACGCTCTTAGAACTTAACACATGTTCTGAGAACAATCCCATTGGTCTTGGAACATCAGCCCGATGTGTTGATACGCGGCGGTCTGAGGCAGCAGTGTTCTTGGAACAGTTCGTGCCAACCACACTAGGTTCTCAGAACATTTTTCTGGCCATCGCTCGGACGTCCATTCCCTGTGTTTTTTTCGGTTTCTTGCGTGGTTTCTTCGCCAAGTGAGCAAGGCTGCTCCTCGACGGTCCTCGCCGAAGGAACAATGCACACGCCCGAGCGATGCAAATTCTCTGGTAAGTGGGCCTACAGGCAAGCTGGGACGCTGTGCCACTGCTCGAGTGCTTGGCCTGGGGGCGGTAACCACCCCCAGGCCAATCTCGGACCGAACTTTGGTCGGGGATCTTCTGAGCCGGGTCAATCCAGACCCGGGTCAGCAAGAAACCAAAAACTGCAATGCAGGAAAAAAACTGCAACGCAGGTCTTCGCAAACCTGGGTCAGCCAATATGCGCGGCCGCCTCGCGGCCACGAGCGGCTCGCTAGCCCCGGTCAGCCAGAGGGGGTCTTCGCAGGATCCTGCAGGGTCCGGTGCCCTGGCTGACCCCCGTTTGCATTGACCCCCGTCTCGAGGCTCCCGACTCGGGTCACCTTCGACCCCGCCGGCGGCGGGCACGTCTTCGGGGCCCCGTCCTCGGGAGCTCCGCGCCGCCCGCGCCGGGCCGCCCCGCGGCGCCCGCGGCGGGGCCGCCCCGCGGCGCGAGGCCGCCGCGCGGCGGCCCGCGGCCGCGCCCGCGCCGCGCCGCCGCGGGCCCGCAGGCCGCCAGCAGCGCGGCCGCGCCGCCCGCGAGCGCGCCGGCGGCGGCGAGGCCGCCGCCCCGCACGGGCGGAGCGCCGCGCCCCTGGCGTTAAGTCGGGCGTGTCCCCCTGCAGAGGGATTTTTGACGAGAGATAAAAAGATACCCCACAAATGCTCCAAAGTGGTCCAAAAGTACTCAAAAAATGATTCCCAGACTAGATCTTGGCTATCTTTGAATATTCCCTCTGCAGGGGGACGGGCCCGACTTACTCCTGGCGGTCATCGTCGTCGTCGTCGCCGTCGCCGTCGCCGTCGTCGTCGCCGCCGTCGTCGTCGCCGTCGTTGTCGCCGTCGTCGTCGTCGTCGTCCTCGTCGCCGTCGTTGTCGTCGTCATCGTCGTCGTCGTCCTCGTCGCGGTCGTCGTCCTCGTCGGCGTAGTCGTCGTCGTCGTCGTCGTCGTCGTCGCATCGTGGTGGTCATCGTCGTCGTCGTCGTCACATGGTGGTCGTCGTCGCCGTCGTCGTCGACGATCCTTGCGCTGCAAGTTGTCCACGACACTGGCGGTCTTGTCGCTCGCCTTCTCGGGCCCCGCGGGGGCCTTGCGGAGCGACGCGGCTCGAGGAAGATGACGCGGGAAGAGATCAGACCTGGGGCCATGGGCGTGCTTGTTGTTCGCGAGGCTCCGATGTTCTGCGTCGTCGGATCTCAGGGTATTTCGCAGCGGGAGGCGTCGTCGTCGTCGCCGTCGTCGTCGCCGTCGTCGTCGTCGTCGTCGCCGTCGTCGTTCGCGTCGTCGCCGTCGTCGTCGTCGTCGCCGTCGGCGTCGTCCTCGTCGTCGTCGGCGTCGTCCTCGTCGTCGTCGTCGTCCTCGTCGCGGTCGTCGTTCTTGTCGTCCTCGTCGTCGTCGTCGTCCTCGTCGCGGTCGTCGTTCTTATCGTCGTCGTCGTCGTCGTGGTGGTCGTTCTCGTCGTCGTCGTGGCCGTCCCCGTCGTCGTCGTCGTTGTCGTCGTCCCCGTCGTCGTCCCCCGGTGCCTCCGCCTGCCCCTGGTGGCTCCCCCCTCCCGCCGGGCCTGGGCCCTCCCTCGCGCTCCTTCGCCGCTCCATGTGCCTTCTCCTCCTCCTCCTCGTTCGCTCGTTCGGTCATTCGTTCGTCGGGCAAGCTGGGTCGATTCCCAAGCCCGGGGAGGAGGCGAGACAGGGCACGATGGAGACGGCGGCGCCGAGAATTCCCAGGATCCTCCTCCTCTTCCTCCTCCTCCTCCTCCATTCCTTTTCCTTATGAATAGTTCTCCCTGCCGCAGACCGAGGCCAGCTTTTAGAGCGGGCCGGCCGTTTCGCCTGAGACTTCCTTATTAGTAACGACCCTGAAGTTTAAACCATGGCAACAATTTCGCACATGGAGGGCGAGTGGTTTTTAAACTGTGGTTCTCGCCTTAGCGCCGCGCACATTCGCTTCCAAACTTTCACGAGCTTCACGGGGTGAGGGCGACTGGTTATCCAAAATGTGGCTCTCGCCTGAGCGCCGTGCGCACTCGTGCTAAACAATTGCCAGAGCTTTACGGATTGAAGGCGACTGGTTTTCAAATGTGGCTCTCGCCTTAGCGCCGCGCACATGCGTTTTGACTCTCGCTTTAGCCCCGCGTGCATTCGTTTTATAGATTTGCAAGAGCTTCACGGATTGAGGGCGGTTGCTTTTCAAAATGTAGCTCTCGCCATAACGCCGCGCGCATTCGTTTACACACTTTACAGGAGTTTCGCGGATTCGCATAATCAGCGTACCAGAAATTTTGTTGGACAGGTTCAGGGTTGTGCAGATGCAACAGCTACGTTGGTTCGCAGTGCTGAAGTCCCAGGAATGGCGTCCTGGCACGGTTCAGGCTCGCCGAGACGCAACACTCAAGTTGACCCGTGGCGTTGGAATCCCGAGAACCATGTTTTGGCATGCTTCAGAATCGTCATTCAGTTGTCTTCCGACGAGGCAGTGAAAATGAACCGTTGTAGGAACCTATGAAAGGGAACTCGGAAGGAGGGTGTATTCAACATTGTTGATGACTCTTGGGTTTACGCTGGTCCTCCTCCTCCTCCTCCTTCTCCTCCCCTCCTCGAGGCTCGATGCTCTGGCTCTGGTACCTCCTGCTCCTCCTCAGCTTGCTCCTCCTCCTCCTCTTCCTCCTTCTCCTCTTCCTCCTCCGCCTCCTCTTCCGCTTCCTCCTCCTGGGCGACGGTCGCTGATGGCGTCTGGATCCTGCAAAGATGTTGCTTCCCTCCTCCTCCTCTTCGTCCTCCTCCACCCTCTCCCCCTCCCATCCTCGATCCTCCTCCTCATCCTTCACCTCCTCCTCCCCATTCCTCCTCCCATTCCTCCTCCCCCTCCTCATCCATCGCGCTTCCTGCTAACCAATTCCTCTCCTTCCCCGCCGGGCGTTTCGCCGGACTACTTCTGCACCGCGTATGACCCGGACGCTGGACTTGCAGAAATTTCACGGACGGAGTGCGGGCCGTTTTCAAACTGTGGCCCTCGCCTTCGCGCTGCCCACATTCGTTTTAAAAGTTCGCAAGAGCATCACGGGTAAGGGGGCGGAAAGTGTTCAAAATGTGGCGCTCGCCTGAACACCGCGCACATTCATCCTGAAAGTTCGCCTCAGCTTCGCGGATGGATGGCGGGAAAAGTTCAGCATGTGGACCTCACCTCAGCGCTGCGCACATTCGTCGTGCATGTTCGCAAGAGCTTCACGGATGGACGGCGGGAAGTTCTCTTAACGCGCGGATCCAGCCTTGGCGCTGCGCACATTCGTCTGGCAGGCTCGGAAGAGCTTCGCGGATGGAGAGCGGGATCGTCTTGTAATGTGGCTCCCGCCCCAGCGCCACGCACATCCGTCGTGAACGATTGCAGTAAGCTCGGGGATAGAGGGCGGGCCGTCCGTTTCCAAACAGTGGCCCTCGCCTTCGCGCGGGGCAGACACGCAAGAGCTTCACGGACGGATGGCGGACAGACTTCAAAACGTGTGGTCTTCGCCTCAGCACCGCGCAGGTTCGTCCTGAAAGTTCGCACGAGCTGCACGCCTCGACGCCTCGCGCGGTGGTCGTCGTCGTCGTCGGTCGTCGGTCGTCGAATTCGTCGTCGCCGTCGCCGCCGCCGCCGCCGCCGTCGTCGTCGTAGTCGTCGTCGTCGTCGTCGTGGTGGTCGTTCTCGTCGTCGTCGTCGTCGTCGTCGTGGTGGTCGTCGTCGTCGTCGTCGTCGTCGTCGTGGTGGTGGTCGTCGTCGTCGTCGTCGTCGTCGTCGTCGCGGCGTCGTCGCCGGCGCGGGCCTCGCTCGGCGGCGCGCGGCGCGGCGCCAACGCCAGCGCCAGCGAGCCGCCGGGCGCCGCCGCGGCGCGGGCGGGGCGCACCGCAGCGGGGCGCGGCATGGCGCCCAGACCTCGGCGCCCCGCGCGGGGCCGGCGCTCCCCACGGGCGCGAGCTGCCGCTACGAGGGCCGCCGCGTCCTGCTACTCGTCCTCCTCCTCCTCCTCCTCTTTCGTCTTTTTCTTCTTCTTATCCTGCTCCTTCTCATCATGATAATCAGCATCAGCATCATTATTAACATCATCAGCATCAGCATCAGCATCAACATCAGCATCAGCATCAGCATCAGCATCAGCATCAGCATCATCATTACCATCATCATCTTCCTTATCATCATCACCATCACCACCATCATCATCATCATCACCATCATCATCATCATCATCATCGTCATCAGCAGCATCATCATCGTCATCAGCAGCATCATCATCAGCATCATCCTAATCCTCATCTTCATCATCATTTCCAACCTCATCCTCAACTTCACCCTCCTCCTCCTCCTCCTCCTCCTCCTCCTCCTCCTCATCGTCAACATCAGCCTAATCCTCATCATCAGTATCAGCAGCAGTATCATCGGCATCATCATCCTCATCCTCATCCTCCTCCTCAGCATAATCATAATCATAAGCATAATCATCATCATCATCATCATCAGCATCATCATCATCAGCATCATCATCAGCATCATCATCATCAGCATCAGCATCAGCATCAGCATCAGCATCAGCATCAGCATCAGCAGCATCATCATCATCATCATCATCATCATCATCATCATCATCATCATCAGCATCATCATCAGCATCATCATCAGCATCATCATCAGCATCATCATCGTCATCATCACCCTCCCCCCCCTTCTCCCCCTCATCCTGCTCTCCGCCGTGCTCCCCCCCCCTCCTCCTCCTCCTCCTCCTCCTCCTCCTCCTCCTCCTCCTCCTCCTCTCCTCCTCCTCCTCCTCCTCCTCCTCCTCCTCCTCCTCCTCCTCCTCCTCCTCCCCTCCTCCTTCTCCTCCTCTCCTCCTCCTCCTCTCTCCTCCTCCTCCTCCTCCTCCTCCTCCTCCTCCTCCTCCTCCTCCTCCTCCTCCTCCTCCTCCTCCTCCTCCTCCTCCTCCTCCTCCTCCTCCTCTCTTCCTCCTCCTCCTCCTCCTCCTCCTCCTCCTCCTCCTCCTCCTCCTCCTCCTCCCCTCCTCCTCCTCCTCCTCCTCCTCCTCCTCCTCCTCCTCCTCCTCCTCCTCCTCCTCCTCCTCCCCTCTGGAGCCTCCGGGCGCCCTCCGTGGAGCGCGCGCCGTCCCGGAGCGCCCCCGGGGGGGGGTCGCCGAGGAACGGTGCGGCGGCAGGCCGCGCGGCGACCTCGGAAGCTCCCGAACGAAGTGACCCCCCCCTCCCCTTCAGAACTCGTGGGGGGCGGGGGCAGGGCTCGCAGGCGGCCCCCTACAAGAGGCCCCCGAGAGGCCCCACGAAGCTCCCGAAGGCCCCCAAGCTCCCCATTCGGCGACCCCCCAGGGGGGGGGGGTCGCCGAGAAACGGTGCGGCGGCGGGCCGCGCAGCGACCTCGGAAGCACCAGGAGGCCTCACCGCGCGGCCAAGTCCCAGCTAGTAGCGTCCCTGCGGGCCGCTTTGCCGGGCCACATTTTTGCCCGAACGTACCAAAGAACCACAACCGCCGTCAGCTCGGCGCCCTGGCCTCTTCTGAATCTCCTTCGCTTCCTTCTTGATGCATTTCGCTTCCTGCTTGGGACGCCCAGCAGGCTTTAGAAGGAGACTGCTGGGAGGTTTTCGTCGGAAGGATTGGAGAGGATCAAGCCCCATTGGGGGGCTAATACGCCAGAGTGGGCCTCGGATCAAGCGGGATTAAGCCGGATTAAGCGGGATTGAGCGAGACTAAGCGGGAGCAAGCCGGATTAAGCGGGATTCATTAAGCTGGATTTCGGACCAGGGCGAAAACAGAATTTGACCTCCCAGGAGTTGCATCCGAGCAGGCTGCACAGTCGGGCCGCTGAAAGCGGGAACGCCAGAGAGAGAGAACGAGGCCCCTCTTGGGCGCCAACAGCGTCAGGGCGCAAGAGGAGGGCTAGAGGAACAACTGCGGAAGGACCGGAGGAGCAGTGAGCCCTCTCCGAAGCCAAACTGGTCCTTCTCTCGGCGCCCTTGCTTTGGCTGAGGATCTTGGAACCCCTATCCCTCGAGACGTCCTCGTGGAAGGGCACACATGTCTAAACGGTTCGGTCACCCTGGATCCCCACTGACCCACCACACGGTGCGGTCACCGCACCGCGTGGGGGCGCCCGAGGCTCTCTGGTGGCCCTCTTGCGAGCCGCTGCAGGGTCCTCTCGGGGCCCTCTTGGGGCCACGCTCTACTCGCCATCGCTCGGACCTCCCTTCTCCGTGCATTTCTCGATATCGCGCGTTTATTACTTCGCTAGATGGTCCAATCTGCTCCTCGATAATAGGAAAAACGGTATATACATAAACTGCTTTCGCTCCGCGCCGGAGGCGCCGCCAGGGGGGAGCCCGGCGCGGATCCATCACATCCGCGCGGAAAGCCAAACGTTTACGTTTATGCCGTGCTGCTTCTTCTCTTCCAATCGAGGAGCAGCTGATTGGATCATCTCACGAAGCAGCACTCGCACGAGATCGAAGAATGCACGGAGAATGGACGTCCGATGTATTTCTTGTTCCTCGGTCGAGCGCCCTCGCCGGAACAAAAAGGCACGCGTCCGAGCGATGCCCAGCCCAGGGGGAGTTCTCAGCGCTGCGCGTACACACGCGCCTCGGCGCCCCGATCACGCGTGGGGGGCGGAGGAGGACGAGGGGCAGGAGGAGGAGGAGGAGGAGGAGGGGGAGGAGGAAGAGGAGGAGGAGGAGGAGGAGCAGACGGCGGGGGAGGAGGAGGAGGAGGAGGAGGAGGCGGAGGAGGAGGCGGAGGAGGAGGCAGGAGGAGGAGGAGGAGGAGGAGGAGGAGGAGGAGCAGACGGCGGGGGAGGAGGAGGAGGAGGAGGAGGAGGAGGAGGAGGAGGCGGAGGAGGAGGCCCGTGCTCGGAGCAAGGCTCGCGGCGGGGGCCGACAGGCCCGGGGCTGTTCGCCTTTGTCGGCGCCCCCTCGTGGCCCACGGCGGAAGGCCTGCGCAAGCACAAGGCACAAAGCTTTGAGCAGGGGCGGACCATCCCGGCATCATTACATTGGACATTTTTCAAACACATTGGATTTGTTTTATTTGAGAATATAGGAATGAAATACATGATCAATGCATGACTGAGCTTATGCCTGAACTCATCGTTGTTTTAAACACTAAATCCTTGCATTTGTCATACATGATTCGCACGCGGAACATGTAGTAAGCACGGCCCTGTATGATGGGCCTTCCACGACATGCTTTTGCAGCTTACGGTCAACCCGTACTACAAGGATGCGGGGTAAGGATGCAAGGGCTTTTGAAGGCCATGACGGCACTTTACGAGCGGGGCGCGGCCAACGAAAATGGCGAAGGATGGACCGGGAAGGCAAAGATGCAAGGGTACCTTTGGGAAGGCTTCCCATCCTTCGTATTCGGGATGACGGTAGAACCCAATGATGGATGTGCTAGCAAAAAACAATCCCAGCCGCGCAAACCTCAAACAGTTCTTCGAACAGGCAAGCCAGGACGCTGCGCCACTGCTCGAAACGGGGCGCGGCCCCGCTGGCTCACGCCGGCCAGCCTGACAGCGCGCAAAAAGGGGCAGTGGAGAGGGGGAGGTTGCTTGGAACGAAACTGATTCTTAGCAGGCGCCGGCCTTGCGTCTACAGACAAGGTTCGCGCCTTCTAAGGAGCCGGAGCGTTTCTGAAAAGCCTCCCCCCCTCCCCCTGCCCCCCTTTGCGCGCCGCCGGCAAAATCCAGGCGGACGTACAGCCAACCCGTATAAGAAGGACGCACAATAAGGACCCGTATAAGGAACCTTGGACGGCCATGACGACACTTTGCGAGTGGGCCGCGGCCACAAAAAGCGGCCAAGGATGGGCTGACAAGGGAGGATGCAACGGTAACCTTGGAAAGTCGCCCATCCTGGCTATGCGGGTCGATTGTAGGAATCGAACGCCGGCACGATTGGGTTCCCACTGTACTCGCCCGCCCTTGGAGGAGTGCACGTGCGGGCGAAACTTGTGTCCATATCCACTGCATCTTGGGGTTTCGGAGTCCCTTCCGCAGAAAGCCGAGGAGCACTGGATATGGATAAAAATCAGGCCCTTACTAGAAGCTCGAATTTCTTTATATCCAGTGTGCCTCGGCCATGCGGCGCCCCTTCCACGAAAATCCAAGACGCCCTGGAGATGGATATGAATACTGCCCGCGTGCGCGCCCGCGGCGATCGCGAGCGCGCCGCAGCCGCACGCGGGCGGCGTGGGGGACCACGCGCAAAGAGAAAGATGCCGGGCAGGCGGTCACAGGGCAGGGGAGCCCAACGGCCACTTGGCCGCGGGAGGAGCCCACAGAACGACCCCCTCGCGGACTGCGAAAAAAACCGAGGGTTATGTTGCTTCCGTCCTGCTTAAGGACTGCATCCCAAAAGTAATCTCGAGCACCCGGAAAAGTGTCAAAAGAGTGTCGAAACAGTGTCGAAAGAGTGTATCCCAGGGCCCGACACGCGCAAACCCCCGAATTCCGGCTATTTTTTAATTGTGCTCGAAATTCTTCCTGGGTTGGAACATCGTAAGCCGATGGGGGGAAGGAGAATGGACCTCATTACGTCGCAACGCGGCAGAGGCAATCCGCGCGCGCCCAGGCGACCCGGGCCGCAGTGCTGCGATCTGTCCCGCGCGCAGGAGGACGGGGGAAGACGAGAGGCGGTCGCTGAGTCGAGAAGAGGGCACAGACGGCGCACTCACGCGGCGAGGAGGGACATGGGCATTTTCTTTTTGTGTGTAGCAACAAAAAAAATACGAGATCCGCGAAGGCCTCCGGCAGTTCCTGCGCATGCAGCAATGTCGAATTCTTACTGTTATTATTCCCCCCCCTCTTCGGGGTGAGTGGGTGACGACGGTCGCGAAGCGGGTTCGGTGCAGCACTCGCCATCATGGGCTTGTCGAAAAAGACGACCAACAGGAAGGATACGCACTTCAATCCGTACGCGGCTGGCAAAAGCCTGTGGAACACCTAGATGATATCACGGATGGGTCCCTCTGGACAGTGACGACGCCCGCGGTGCAGAAAGTCATAAACCATGGCAGAGGTTAAGCTGAAATTAATTCGGCTCGATACGGCACAGTACAGGGTGGGAACGCGACTGGTCATCGGGCAACCCTGATGGATCGCCTCCTCCAGAGACAGCCTCGCCGACAGCCAACACCAAGGGACCACACCACTGTAAGCGACGACTGCATGTTCACCCCTTCAATACAACCGACCGAAACACGTGGGAAGTTGAAATACTGAAATAAAGTTCCCGACCCTCGGTTGCGGACGGGATGCCGGTAAAGGGGTCCATGGAGAGCACCACGGCGAACACAGCCGCGCACCGCCGCCCGAGTGGAACTCAGATGTGCTCGGAGCCCCCGTGCCCCTCGGCGCGGACGGGATGCCGAGGAAGGTGTTCGAGAAAGCGCAACAACTGAAATTACAAATTGCGATAGCTTGAATTCGCTCATTCTTGCCATTCACACCGAGAACAGCTGTCCTACAAACGGTTCTGTGGTGGGAGCAACCCAGGCGCCACGAGAAGGCAATGGGCCGGGCGCGCAGGAGAGAGCAGGGGAGCAGGCGACAGGGTGCGATGGGGGGAATGAGAGGAGGGCTGGAGGGGGGGGGGAGGGAAGAACGAGAGGAGGGCTGGAGGGGAGAAGGAAAGGAAGGGAGGGAATCGAGAGGAAGAAGTGATAACTCGGCGTGCTGGGGATCATTGTGTTAGCGATGAAGGCTGTTCGTATGCTGGTTAACTTGCTCTTATGCGAGTTTTAAGCTTGCCGAAGACCCAACAGTGCAAAACGGTGACGAAACACATAACCAGGGCGTTTTGAAGAAGAACTGCGGAGAAAAGGCGAAGGAGGGAGAACGAGAGGATTGGCGCAACCAGGCTCCATGAGACCGAGGACGCCAAAACATAGGGCAGCCACAGTAGGCGTCGAGCCTGGACCGCCCTCGTCCGCAAGACGGCAAAAGCAGAGGGGGCGCCCCGTGCCGCGGGCCCCCAGACCCCAGCAGCCCCCACTAATAGGGAAGCCCGGAGGAGGAGGAGGAGGAGGAGGAGGAGGAGGAGGAGAAGAAGGAGGAGGAGGAGGAGGAGGAGGGGGGTCGACGCAACCCCCGAACGGACGGGGGGGTCGGGGCGAGGCAGGTGGAGAGAGGAGGGCGGGCGGGCTCTGCGCCGAGACCCCTCTGACTCTGCGCCCCTCCGACGCCCACGCCCGTGCCCCGCCGCGGACGACGAGGACGAGGACGAGGACCAAGGACGACGAGGACGAGGACGGGGACGACGGAGACGGAGATGGAGACGACGGCCTCGGGTGCGCTCCCTTCTCTGGGCCCCAGCTCCCCAGGGGCGCCTTCAGCTTTCGCATCTTCTTGACCTTCTCCACGACCTCCCGCGGCGCTGGCGCGGCTGCCCCGATCTCCAACGAGATGGACTTTTTTCAACCGGCGCGTGTTCCTTGATGTCGGCCCTCGGGTGCCGTGCTGTGGCCCCTGGACCATCAAGAACGAACCCGGGGCGAAACGCCACCCCAGGGGAAGCGGACGGAACCTCTCTGGGGCGGCGGATTGAAACACGTCGTGTCGGCGGACGTCAAGGCCCGGTGTGGCCCAAACCCTTGGGCAGGAGGTGGAGGAGGAGGAGGGGAGGAGGAGGAGGAGGAGGAGGAGGAGGAGGAGGAGGAGGAGGAGGGGGAGGAGGAGGAGGAGGAGGAGGAGGAGGAGGAGGAGGAGGAGGAGGAGGAGTGAGGAACGCTGCAGAAGGAGCGAAAGGGGAGTGGCTTACTGCGCCCGTCGGCCTAGAAATGCAGATCGTCTCGAGAGCCATGGCCCATCCCGAGCCCAGTGTGGTCTATCTTTCAGCATCCTGGTTGTAATTTGCTGCCTTCCCCATGTGTGCTTGCGTGAGGGGGCCCTGAGAGACAACATAAATAGACACACATCCTAGGATTCCCCATATGTTCCCCGTCTCTTCTGGGTTTTCGTCTCCCCTCCCAGTTCCCATAGTTCTTCTCATGTCTACTTTGGGGTCGACGAACAATCGTGTCTGTGTGTTTTCGCCCTCCTTCTTGCAGGGATGGAGACCTGGGTCCTGGAGGGGGCGGCTCCTGAGGACACCGGGGCGCTCTCTCCACGGGCGCGCAACCCGTCCCGAGTTCATTTTGTTGGTTCCTCCTCCTCCTCCTCCTCCTCCTCCTCCTCCTCCTCCTCCTCCTCCTCCTCTCCTCCTCCCCTCCCCTCCCCTCCCTCCCCTCCCCTCCCCTCCCCTCCCCCCCCCTCCCCTCCCTTCCCCCTCCCTTCCCCTCTCCCCCCCTCCGCTCCCCCGTCCCGGGGGGCCAGGGGAAAGGCCCCGTAGGAGGCCCTGGGCAAGGAAAACAACACAACTCCTGAAGTCGGCGGCGAGCGAGGGGGAGGGGGGGCACTGAGCAGGAGAAGGCCTCCCCAGAAGGCGGCGGGACCTCTCAGAAGCCCTCCGCGTCCCTCCGAGAAGTGCCCTGCGTCTTCGGGGAAAGCTTCGAAAGCTTCTCGGAAAGCCGGGGGGGCTTCGGAGCCTTCTGAGACGGGGACCGCCACTTCTCACTTCCCCCCCTTCGCTCGCCGCCGAATGAGCAGCCTGATTCGGGGATGGACAGACCTCCCTTTAGTAAAACGTGGTGATTCGTGAAAACGACCTCGGGCCCAACCCTGGCGGGCGCAAGCCTGGAAAAGAACGGCCGCGGCGCCCTCTCGAGAACCGAAAACGGACAATTCACTAATCGACGTGTCAGGGCGGGGCTGCTGTCCACCCCCGACAGAAACATCAGGGATAGGGGGTCTTTCCTGCAGGTGTATCAGACCAAACCGCCCAGAATTATTATCCCTAATGCGAAGATGGGGACCTCAGTGAGGTCACGTCTTCATCGTGTTATGCGGGTTCGGGGTTAATCGACGTGTCAGGGTGGGGGTTTTGTCCACCTCCGACGGATTCGGAGGGGGGGATGGGCACTGCGCCAGGCTGGGCCCGCCCGGGCCTCGTGCGCGCGCGCGTCCCACAGACGGAGCCACACGAATTGCACGCGGAAGAAAATGACGTTCAGACGTGTAGGCTTAAGTCGGGCGTGTCCCCCATAAAGGGGAATTTTCGATGAAACATAAAACATATTCAAGCCATACTCCAAGGTGGTCAAAAATACCCCCAAAAAACCATCCCCAGACTATGTTTTGACTATTTTTGAATATTTCCCCTGTAGAGGGACAGGCCCGATTTAAGACTAATTTCACGGGGGCGAATTAGGTTCAAACATGCAGGCATTGGTCTGGCATGCTTTTTTTCATTGCGTTTCTGGGCCCACCGCCGCCAGGGGCAACGGCAGTTGGCAACACGAGTATCAAAACGGCGACCGCAGGGCTCAGGTGAGCAGGAAGAGGAGAGAAGGAATACACGCCCTCGGCCAAGGAGGGAGGCTCGCAAGACGGGGGTCAACGGCGGCCGCAAGACGGAGCGTGACAAGGGAAAGGGGAACAAGGGGAAACCATCACCAATGGCAAGAGCACCCAGGGACAAGGCGGAGGAGACGAGGATCGCGGGCCACGGCGGAAGGAGGTGGGGGGGGGAGGGGAGAAATAAAACTGTAGACAGTGACTTCGCTGCACTGTCCTCTCATCCCTGCGCTGGGGCAATCATGCCTGGCCGTCAGGCGCGAGGGGGGGGGGCGCCGCGTCACCACTTCTCTGGCGCGGATCTGCGCCTCCACTGCTGCAAACCGTGCATTGCTGACTCGGGCGCGCCCGCGCCTTGCCCTGGATGTCCCTGGGGCCCTCGAGTGCCCCCCCCCCAAAGACATCCATCAGGGGTCAGACCTCCCACCCATGCCTCTGACCCCACCCAGGCACGGGGGGCGTCTTTGGGCTTCTTGGAAGTCTCCTGGAGCCTCCTCGGGGCTTTTGGGGGGCCTCTTGGGGGCATCTTGGGGCCTCTTCGAGCATCTTGGGGGCTTTGTGGGGCGTCTTGGAGCCCCCTGGGGGCCTCTTGGGAGCGACCGTGAGGTCTCAGCAGCCCATTGGAGGCGACAAGGCGAAAAGGCTAAGGTCACTGATTTCCTTTTGGCTTTGGAAGGTTTTTGGCTTGTCGGGGCGTTCTAGGGGTCTCCTGGGGCCCTCTGGGGCTGTCTTGAGCGTCTCTGGAGGCGTCTTCAGGCTCACGTGTGCCGTCTCATGGCCCTCCGGGCAGTTCTGGGTTCGCGTTCCCCTTCTTGGGCCTCTCTTGGAGCCGTCTTGCGGCCCTCTCAGGCCGTCTTGGGCGTCTCAAAGGCTACGACCCTCTGGGCACTTCTGGCTTTGCGTTCCCCTTCTTGGGCCTCTCTCGGAGCCGTCTTGGGGCCTTCTCGGGCCGTCTTGGGCGCCTCAGTGACTGTCTTAGGGCCCTCGTTGGCCATCTTGGGGCTTTCTTGGAGGCTTCCTCAGCTGTCTTCGGGCGGTCTTGGGGGCATCTCGGGCCGTCTTGGAGCGTTGGAAACTGACAAGGCGAAAACTCGAAAATCCTTCAAACACGTATGTGAGATCAATGATTTCTGCCTCTTCGGGCGCTCTTGGGAGGCCTCTTGGAGGCCTCTTAGGGCCTCTGGGAGGCCTCTTGGGGGCCTCTAGGAGCCTCTTGGGAGCCTCTTGGGCCCTCCAGGGAGCCTCTCGAGGTGGAAGCTCGGATTGTTGGTTCGGGTTGTCCCTCATATGCCCTTCTGGGGACCGTCTTGGAACGCTCTTGGGCCGTCTTGAACAGAGGCCTTCTTGGGCCGTCTTGGGGCCCTCTTGGGGGCCTCTTGGGCTGTGTTGGAGCGGACATTGGGGCCTTTCGGGCCGTCATGGAGCGTCGGGAAACTGCGAAGGCGAGAACCCGAAAATCCTTCAAAGTCGACGGGAAATCAGCGATGTCTGCCTCCTCGGGCCCTCTCAGGAGGCCTCTTGGGGCCTGGGAGGCCTCTTGAAGAGTCTGGGGCTGATTCCGGGGTCATCTCTGCCGTCGCTGGTCGTCTTTTTTTGTTCCCCCCTCCACGAGCCAGTGGGCAGGACCGAGGGGGCACAGTCGCCAACGCCGCGCACGGGCGCGCACCGAATGTGCTGGGTTTACCTACATGCCAGGTTCAGCACACGTTTTCTTGGTCGGCGGGTCGGGAGCGGGCCCCTTCCGGTCAAGAGCTAGGCGGGGCGCGCGGAGCCCTAATTGGGGAGACAGGGCGCGGGCGGCCAGGTTCAGCACACACGCCTGCAACAAACGTTCACACGACGCGGAACTGTCAAAACAGAACTGTCTAACAGACAATTGGTCGTCTTGGTGGTCCGCCCTCGGGCGATCTCTGGCAGTCCGGGGCCGCCCTCGGGCGATCTGAACGAGGGCCCCCGGCGCCCCGAGGCGCGCCGGGGCCGCCGGCGCACCCATGTGCGGTCGGGGTCGCGGCCCCGGGGCCCCCGGGTCCAGTCCCGCGTGTATATGCTCCTCCTCCTCCTCCTCCTCCTCCTCCTCCTCCTCCTCCTCCTCTCCTCCTCCTCCTCCTCCTCCTCCTCCTCCTCCTCCTCCTCCTCCTCCTCCTCCTCCTCCTCCTCCTCCTCCTCCTCCTCCTCCCCCATGTATATGTGTATGTATGAAAACTCTCGTCATCGTTCCTCCGCTCGCGGCCGCTGTTGTTGGGGCCGCGGCCTTCGCCACAAGCTGAGAGCACCCGCGGCGACAATTGTCGGCGCATCGTGGACAGAATAGGGCAAAATGCCGGCGGGAGTCGTCCCATGTCTTTCCGTCCGTTTCCTTCGGTCCCTTCGAAGGGAACGGAGAGGAGGAAGAGGAGGATGAGGAGGGCAGGAGGAGGAAAAGGAGGGATTAGCAGGAGGAGGAGAAATAATAGGGGGAGGAGGAAAGATCAGGCTGAGAAAGCTTTGCGCTTCCGCCCAGAGAAAAAGGAAGGAGAGGAGGGATCAGGAGGAGGAGGAGGAGGAGGAGAAAGAGGAGGAGGAGGAGGAAGAGAGGAGAAGGGATCAGGAGGAGAAGGAGGAGAAAGAGTAGAAGGAGGACAAATGATAAAGAAGATGAGGCCCTCCCCCTCTTCACCATCTCCCTCCTCCCCCTCCCTCCTCCTGATCCTGGCTCTACTCCTCCCTCGCCTCCTGATCCCTCCTCCTCCTCCCCCGCCTCCTCCTTCATCCTCTCCTCCTCTCTTCTCCCCTCCTCCTCCCTTCTCCCTGCTCCCTTCTCCCCCTCTTCCTCCCAGCACCCCCCCCCCCCTTCCCCCTCCTCCCTGGACGGCCACGGTCGCCCCCGCCCCCGCCCCAGCGAGCCCCCGGTGGGAGAGGGGGGCGGCGGCGCGCCTTGATGCCAAGAAGCGCCTTGAGCGCCTTCGCCTGCTCGGCCTGCACCGCGCCGCCCGCGGGGGCGGGAGGCGGCGCGGCCGCCGCGGCGGCAGAGGCCGCCGCGGCGCCCGCGGGGAGCCCCAGGCGAAGCCACCACGGGAGGTCCCCCCCCCGGGGGCTGGAGTCCTCCCGGGCGGGGTCCGAGTGGGCGTGGTCAGAGGACCGCGTCGCGTCGCCAATCCAGGGTCGACGCATCGGCGATGCACCAGCGGGGCATCGTCGATGTCGGCGATGCCTCGGCATCGTCGACGCGGAGAGACTCGGGCTCCGCTTCGAGCCACAGCGCCGATGCATCGCCGATGCGGCGCGATCCTCCGACCCCACCTACTCCGACCCCACGGTCGGAGGCGAACGCCATGCAAGTAAACTTGCCTCCTCCTCCTCCTCCTCCTCCTCCTCCAAGCCGCGGCCCAGGGGAGGGGGGAGGCCAGGGACGAACCGCGGACGAAAGTGGCAGAGGGCTCCGCGGCCCAGGGAGGGAGGAGGCCAGGGACGAGCCACGGGCGAACATACGAAAGAGGAGGGACGCCGGCCTTAGGAGGGCCTCCGCCTCCTTCTCCTCCGCTTCCTCCTCCTCCTCCTCCTCCGCTTCCCCCTCCTCCTCCTCCTCCTCCTCCTCCTCCTCCTCCTCCTCCTCCTCCTCCTCCTCCTCCTCGTCCTCCTCCTCCCTCCTCCTGCTCCTCCTCCTCGTCCTCCTCCTCCCTCCTCCTCACCTCCTCGTCGTTCTTCTCCTCCCCATCCTTCTCCTCGTCTTCCTCCTCCACCTCCTCCTCCTGCTCGCCCTCGTCGTCCTCTTCTTCTCCTCGTCCTGCTTGTCCTCCTCTTCCTCCTCCTCGTCCTCCGTTGTTTTTCCTTATATAAATAACTCCTTCCTGTCGCACCCCGAGGCTGGTCGAAAGGACGGGCCGGGCGTTTCGCCTGAGACTTCCTCACCACTCATGACCCTGAAGTTTAAAACGTGGCAACCGTTTCACAGATGGAGGGCGGGTCGTTTTCGAAATGTGGCTCTCGCCTTAGCGCCGCGCGCATTCTTTTTAAACAGTTGCAAGGGTTACACGGATTGAGGGCGGGTGGCTTTCAAAATGTGGCTCTCGCCTTAGCGCCGCGCACATTCGTGTTAAAACATGCCAGCGTTTCACGGATTGAGGGCGGGTCCTGTTCGATTTGTGGCTCTCGCATTAGCGACGCGCACGCTCCTTGTTAAATATTGCAAGAGGTCCACGGACTCGCATGGTTCACGTACCAGAAATGATCCTCCGACCCCATCTGCTCCGACCCCCCAGGTGAACGCATCCCGAGGCTGGGAAACCGCTGAGAACCAGCGAGAACATCCGAGAACCTCACCCGAAGACGGCCGATAGCCTCCCCCCTGAGCCTGTCGGCGATGGGCGAGCGACTGGGGGGGTGATGCATCCACCTCTGAACCTATCCCCCCTATGGTTACCCCTGACTTGACAGGACCTCCTTCTCGTCCTGCTCCTCCTCCTCGTCATCCTAATCATATCATACTTCTGCTCCCCCTCCTCCTCCTCCTCCTCCTCCTCCTCCTCATCCTCCTCGTCCGCATTCTCATCGTCCCCCTCGTCATCCTTCTCCTCCTCCTCGTCCTCGTTCTCCCCCTCCTTGCCCCTGGCTTCGTATGGGGCCTCCAGCGCCGACCACAGATATCCGCCCAGACCTCCAGAGGTCTGTGCTGATGCCACTTGTTATTTGTTCCACTGAGGTCACTCTTGAACTCTTGCCCCTGCTGATGTTACCAGCCTCGAACGTGTCCCTATCCCTAAGATTGACACGCCAAAAGGCGATGACAATCTTAGGGATTCGCCCTCAAAAAGTAAGGGAATCCCTAAGATTGACATCGTGATGAGGAGGTGCCCAGCATAGGGATAGGGAGATGTTCCAGGCTGGTAATGATGCCGATCCAGCCATCCCCCGAACGCTACCGACGAGGCGCAGCAACCTCGAGTCTCGAGGAAGTCCCAACACCCTCGCGTCGGGGAGTACAGTCGGGGCGTTGACCTAAGGAACCCTAAATCAGGAACGAGGTCCCCTTTTTCCATAAGTTAAACTTCGATTTCCCATCGAAAAGATAAGGACAACCTGAGGCAAGCTGCGAAACACTTAAGGAACGCGGAGCCCCTCCCCAACCAAAAGGGTTCCTTCTTCAGGGCCCCGACTGTATATAGTTACAGCATCTTGAGAGATCACGGCTGGAGCAAATCCAGCGCCATGAGAAATCACAACAAAGGCCCTGGGCCCCATCTTCCTGCGGCGCATCTCCGTCCGGATCGATATGCGAGGGCCCCGGGCCGAAGCCTGGCAAAGATGCCCGGTAAGGACAACAGGAACGTCCACCTCTCGGGGTCCCGCGACGTGCCCCTTTTCTCAGGAAAATCCAAGGACATGATCTTGCGATACGCGACTCCAGAGGTCCCGCTCCCATCCCCCTCGGGGTAGCAGTTTCGTCCAGCGCATCCATGTTTGATGGCCCTGGGGGCCAGAAGCGGTCCCCGAGGGTTGATGTGGTTTGTCCCCATCCCTTGATTGGGTTCTCGTTTTGAATCGAGCACCGTGGTCTCCATCACTCACTCACTCCTCCCCCCTCCTCCTTCCTCCCTTCTTTCTCCTCCTCCTCCTCGTTTTAATCATCCTTGTCACACGGGGACCACCATGAGATCTCGGCGTTCCTGGGGCGCTGCGATCTGCGAAACTGTCGCCTCTTTCGTCGGCTCCTCGGAGGTCTAGCGGAGGGGTGTCCCACAGTGAACACCATGAGACCTTTCGTGGGCTCCTGGGAGGTCCAGCGGATCGGTGGCCTACGGGGACCACCATGAGACCTCGCCGTCCCTGGGGGGCTGCGATCTGAGAAACTGCCGCCACTTCTGTGGGCTCGTCCAGCGGAGGGGGGTCCCACGGGGACCACCATGAGACCTCGCCGTTCCTGGGGGGCTGCGATCTGCGACTCTGTCGCCACTTTCGTGGGCTCCTGGGAGGTCCAACGCAGGGGTGTCCCACGCTCCCTGGGGAGTTGCGATCTGCGAAACTGTCGCCACTTTCGTGGGCTCCTGGGAGGGCCAACGCAGGGGTGTCCCACGGGGACCACCACGAGACCTGGCCGCTCCCTGGGGGGGTGCGATCTGCTGGGGGTCCAGCGGAGTGACGTCCTGTGCGGGCAGGCAAGGGACTTCGCCATCCCTGGTGTCCAGCGGAGTGACGTTTTTTTTTTTTTCTGATATCTGGGGGTTGTTTCGAGTTCTGGGGGTCGCCAGGGAGGAAACAGAGAAGCTGGCGGGCGAGCAAGGCCTCGCTCGAGTCTTGCACTAGCGATCAGCAGGTTTAATGCTTTTCGAGCGCCGAAGCGGCATGGCGCCGGCAGCGTTGCATCTTCAGAGCGCTACCGACAAAAGCAAAACTTTGCGGCCACCTCCCGTCACTTTCGTCGTCAGCCTCTGCCCCCTGCCACCCTCCCTCTGCTGCTGCCGCGCTGACGGTTCGCCCTCCCCCCCCTCCCCCGCGTCCTTCTCCTGCCCTTCGTTCCCGCCCCCGTGTCCTCCTCAAGGCTGTAGCTTCGTTCCTCGTCCTTCGGTTGTTCTGTGGATCGTGCCACGCGAGCGCAGCACATGAAGCTTGCACAACATAAAACCGTGCCTGCACTGTCATTGTCCTGGTAGGTGTGGGCCAACTCATCTTGTCACTTGATGCAAGTGGGTTGGGTACGTCACAAGGTAATTTTTAACAAGCAGGATAATACCACAAACAAAACACATGTCAGCAAAACTCGTAGATTCGTGGATGTGCGACGCAGAAGGGCACAGCAGTACTACGTGTCCTCTTTGGAGGCGTGCGTCCGACCCAAACATATAGTACAACCATATTGTGGTATACCGTTTCCCGAGAGGTGTGACCAGAAAGCGCCTGCCACGTAGCTTACACGTCGGTCGGAAGAAATAGGTAGAAACATGAAGTAGGAAGGCGGATATAGCGGATTGGGTCTAGGTCCTCCCGGAGAATACCAAGACACAGCAAAAGCATGCCGACTCTTGAGGTAGGAAGGCGCGTGAAGTGGATTGGGTTCTGGGAATCCAAAAATACATACTTTCAACGACCGGCGTGCATGCTATGATAGTTCTCGGCGCGCGCGTCGCCCCTGGGGAGGGCGACGCGCTGTTGGGGCGACGCCGAGATCCCACGCCGGAGCTCACGTCCAGGAGGCCCGGCTGCGGGCGCGTGCAGCCGAGCCTCCCTCGGGTCCTCCCAGATGGGGTCCGGGTAGATGGGGCCGGAGGATCGCGCAGCATCGCCGATACATCTGCGATGCATCGCCGATGCATCGGCGATGCGGCGCGATCCTCCGGCCCCATCTACCTGGACCCCATCTGGGATTAGGTCGGGCATGTCCCCCTACGGGCGGACTTTGGAAGGAAACTGAGCCATAGCCGAACAATATTTCAACATAGTCGACAAGAGAGCCACTTTTCGACACCCCTCACCAGGATCGTGGCCTCCGAGGGGTGAGCTGCAATCGACTACACCCCCTCCCGCCCCAAAAGGCCCCCAAAAGCCCCCCAAGAGGCCCTGGGGGCCCCCAAGACGCCGCCAAGGAGCCCCAAGAGACTCCCGAGAGGTCCCCAAGAGGCCCCCAAGAGGCCCTAAAGAGGGCTCCAGGGCCGGCGGAATGAGCGAAGCGATCAGATATAAAGACACATACGCATCTCCAGACTATCGTCTGACCACTTTTGCCTGTCCCTCGCGAGGAGGGACGGGCACGACCTAAATCCAGGAGGCCTGCAGAGCCTCGCGCGGTGCCCGCCCTCGCCCTGCGGGCCGAAGGGGGGGGGGCGTCCTTCTTCGCCGTGGTGGGCGGCTCGCGCTTGACGGCGGGGGAGAGGCCGGCAGCAGCTCGCGCGGGCGGGAAGAGAGAGAGAGGCAGAAAGAGGTGACGGAGGGAGGGGGAAGGAGGGGGAGGGGACAGAGGACGGAGGGAGGGGTGAGGAGGAGGGGTGGGAAAGAGGAGGGAGCGAGGAGGGATGGGGGGAGGGAAGAGGGAGGGGGGAGGCGTAGAGAGGGGAGGGAAGGGGGAGGAGGGGGGGAATAGAGGAGGGAGCGAGGAGGGAAGGGGGAGGAGGGAGGGGGGTAGGCGGAGAGAGGGGAGGGAGCGGGGAGGAGGGGGGGACAGAGGAGGCAGGGGAAGGGGAGGGGCCCTGAGATCTGAGCGCTGCAATTCTTGCACACGGGGCGTTTGCGCCCAACGTCGGGCCCCAGGGCCATCGAAGATGGCTCCGGCGCGAACACAAATGCAGCAGAAAAATGGGTCTGGGGTCCCAGCTGCCGTGTTTCGCGCTGTTGTGCCAACTTCGCACCTCAGGGGTATCTCAGCTCCCCGGCCACACTCAGGAACAAGTGCGGCCCCTCTCTCTCTTCTCTCTTTCTCTCTCTCTCTCTCTCTAGGGTCATGTGTGAGCAAGCCCTGCACAGCATTGCAGGCGGCCGATGGTTGAGACGGTGGCGGAGTGACAAAGTGCAGAGAGGGAGTGGATCGGAAAACCAGATCGGATGGGAGCGTGCGTCGGATCGGAGCGTGCGTCGGATCGGGCCGCATCGGCACGGAGTCAAGATCGACTCGAATCGGATCGGCTGCGCCAGCAAGCATAATGACGCCCCTGCCAGTATCGGGCCGCCTCTGCTCGTCGCAATATCAGAAGCGAATCGGGTCGGCCCAGTAAAAATCGATGTCGAATCGGATCGATCGGGTCGAAATGGACCCTGGGATGAGGGAGTTTGGAAGAGAGGAGGGGCAGAGGAAGATGGACGGGAGGCAAGCTAGGTGCGCTCGCGCCTCACCCTCCCTCCCATCCCGCCCCATGGCGCTGAATTTTCGATATTACATGCCTTCCCAGGTGTCACAGCCGAACTGCCACTCCCACAGAAAGACCACGTCGTGTTCGCAATCGGAAGATGGGGAACGTTGTGCACAGGAGGAGATGGCGGGTGAGCAGGAGGATGAGCGAGAAGAAAAGGATGAGGACGAACAGCAACAGCAGGAAGCGAAGTGGAAGGGCAAGGAGAAAAACGATGACCAAGGGAAGGCGGAGGACCAGGGGAAACCACAAACTCGTGTTCTCTTTTTCTTTCTTGAAGTCTGCCCACATATAGCACATACGAGTTTTTTGTCAACGTCATCAGGTCGGAAGGGATGTAGAGCGTGACAACGATTGCCTGGCTTCTTGGTGCGCTCATTGCGGGCTGCAATATCTGCTGTCCAATATTCCAATGATCGTTTCGGGCCAAAACTTCCGTCCATCAGGATTTTCAGGATCACAAAGCAGGCGTGCCCAACACAACACTGTACATGTCCTCCTACACTGTATCCGTTCCACTCGCACATGTTCTTTCTTCGTTGGCCCCCTGGCCGGGCCAAACACATGATAAGCTTGAACCACAACTTCGCTGGTGTGCAGGATACGGTTTTGCTAGCAAGGTCTGCTCGTTCAGAATATGTCCATTGTGCTGCTGCTCGTGGTGTGGTAATATCTGTGACTTTAAGGACGTGCTTGACAAACCCAACTTCTCGTGCTGCACAGGCTGCTGAGATACGGAGATCGGACTCGCGGATTGTCCTGCAGCGACATAAGAGGGCCATCCGAGCTGCTGCAGTCGAGAAATGTCTCGCCATGCGCTCAAAAGTAGCCATCGCTGCATTCTGTTGTGCCGTCACAAGAGACAGCCCTGTGCATATAAGAAATTCGATGGCCAACTCTGCCCGAGCAACTGAAAGTGGCGCCGTGGGCGTACAATCTGCTTGCCATCGTAACTGCGAGAAATACCAGACTGCGGCCGAACATAGCGCCTGCTGGTACTTCCAAGTGTTATGGCCCAAGGTATCTGGGGTCTTCGGCGTGAACCCCCACGGTGTAAGAAATAACGTAATTGGGTCTCAATGCTACCCAGGGGAGGCGATCTTGGAACTCCACGTTCGTATATTGCACGTCGAAGAGGTCCATGACCATCGGTAGGTGTGACTGCTCGAGGTGCTCGTCGTAGTTGCCGTGGTTGTAGCACCCGTGTGTGGCTGAGGTCGTCGTGGTGGTGCTGAGTCGCTGCGATGCCTGCGTGTGGGCTTTGTGTCAAGCACCGTCGTACGGGGTAGTGGTAGAGCTGCCGCGCCTGGGTCCCAGTCGGGTACTCGTGGCGACGTGATGCCTGGTTGCCTTGATGGCACACCAGGGCTTTGCGCTCTAACGCCCGTGGCGACTGAACCTGCTAGCCTTGATGGCACACCAGGGTTTTGCGTTCTCACACCAGGTGTGCCCGAGCGGGGGCCCGACCGAACATCATCGTCGCCATCTCCAGGCTGATCCATATTCAGATGCGCCCACGGGTCATCTTCATCTTCATCAGGTACATGCTGGTCGATACCATCATTGTCTGCATCAAGGAAACACGTGTACCTGCTGACATGTCCCATTATGCTTGTCACGACCCATCACACGTTCAACTGCTGCACGTCGCTCACGGGCGATGGCATCGATGAGCTGGATGGCGCAGCGTAGCTTCTGGCCCTGCGGATGCTGCCGACGAGCTTGCCGCGGTACCGGGTGCAGGCGAGCGGCGCGGACTGCTCCTGCATCTGATTTTTGGTTTCGCTGCAAGAGAGGCAGCTCATCCTTTTGGGCATCACTATGCTGGCGATGCGCTTTGGTCTTCTGTACGTCCATTGAAGCTCTCGGCGCCATTGATCTCAATGCCAGTTGTAATGGCATTCCATAGGTCACGATGTCGGCGCGGCTGCGCGCGCTGCCCTTGGGGTAGAGTTGAGAAAAGCCGCGCGCCATAGTCGCTGTCCGCGAGGTGCATCTGCCTGGGCCAGGACCAGGCAACAACATGTCTTAGCGCGGCAACTTCTGCACTTTGGGCCCCCTGCGACACACTGAGGAGGGGGGCCTCTGCGTTACAGGCATGGCCTTGTCCATACTAGAGACGGCACCCTGCGAGACGTCGTCGGAGATCCGATGCCTACCCAGGGCGCGCACCATCACCAGCAACAACAAGGTAAACGTCTCGATAAAGAAGTGCTGCATCTTCGCGTTGACCCATCTCACGCCCCCCGTCTGCACGATGAGGAGGCGGTGGGAGGTCCGGTTCGTCGGGGAGGAATTGGGCAGCAAATGCGTAAAACTCAGCTCGATCAGGCAAAAGTCCGCACTGCCGCAGGCAACTGGGAAGCTCCTGGATCGAGGCTCGATCATATTGGCCAAGAAGTGGTTCGCGTAGTCCTTCCCAGTACACACAATCGTATAGCACATGGCCCATTGTCTCATCAGGAGCACCACAGAATACACATAGTTTGTAAACCGCCCTGCCTGTGATGTAGCGCAGCCTACGTCCAGTGATTGCCGCACACTGTAGCATCGCAAGCAAATGTGAAAGCTGTTCGCGCAGTGACTTGGGGATGCGACGCCGGCTGCGTTCAGCACGAGGGGCGGTTGAGTCTTGGGCTCCTCCGTGGTGTCCTCACCTTCTGGCAGTAGTGTGCGATCTGCTTGACTTAGGATCGCGGTGGTGATGTGGTAGTTGATCCCTGCAACTGAGCCGTGCACGTCTTTGCGCTTCAGGGGCGCATCATCAGTCTCCCACATCCAGCGGCGCAGCCCCTCGCAAAGAATACGATGCCACCAGTCTGGATGATGTTTTCACATGTAGATTAGCGGACCATTGGCGCGCTTGGATTGATCAATGTCTGGTCAAGCCCAACCAAAAACATCCAGCACTTCTTTGGTGCGCGGCATCGATCCTCCAAGATTTGCTCTTGTATTTCGCATGTCATGTCTCCCTCGCGCACGCTGCCGCATGAGTGTCCAGAATTGCTTAGCCCTCGAAAGAGCCCGGTAGCATACGGACTGGTCAGCAGATGCCGTGCAACAGTGAGGGGCTGATGGGTTGCGATCTGCATCGGGTCTAGGGAATGGCCCTTTGCGATCAGGGTAAGCGCCATCGCAGGTGAACGACATGCCTTCGCCATGCGCCACAGCGAACCCATGATAGCTGAGCAAGAATTGCTACAGTTGTGGCGCGTGGGCTTCCGAGAGTCCAGGCCAGGTGCCAGTATTGGTAGAGCTGCTGGTGCTAGCAGTCGTTGCTTCTCACGCGGGCCAACTGGCGCTGCTCCTGCTCGGCGCGCTACCCGAAATGCCGATGCACATGGCTGGCGCCGCCGTCGCGGCGGGCGCGCGCGAGAAGATGCAACATCTCCGCCGTCCGAGACTAACTGCCGAATTAAACGTGCACCCATCCCTCGCGATGCCGTCATATTCGAAAGCTCCTGCTCGGCTTTCGCAGCGGCGGCGCAGTGGGGGGTCTTCTTCAGGTTGGCCCCGGCGCCGCTGCGCAGGTCAAACCCCATGGGGGTCTGAGTGGCCCGCGCGGCAGACAGCGCATGCTGAGGTTCATCTGAACGAAAGTTCCCATCACCAATGAAACTGCCGACGCGCGCGGGCCCTTCAGCCTCGACGGCGCGAGACCGTGTCATCATGAGCGCGAGCGCCCGCTGGAGAGACCAGCTGTCGCCCTGCGCGTAACCGCTTCGCCTGATGGCAGATGGTCCAACAGCCTGCGCCACTTAAGGATTGCTCGACATGCAGGACCTCCAGGTGGACGCCATAACGCGCGCATCATGTTGTCACCGATGTCATATTCCAACAAGTCAAAGAACTTCGCTGTGTTGGCCAGGGCCCACCAGGCGCGCAGGCTCAATCTCGTGTTTGAACCCCCAGGCAATAGCTTGATAATGCTGGCCCTGTCGCGCCCCTGCCGCCCCTCGGCGCAGCCGCTTCTCACGCTAGCCAGACATCTGCGTGAGGCGATCTCATGAGAGGGCAGCATAGAGAGGGCTGAGGTTCGTG